TGGTGGAGGGGGAGGAGCTGGTGGCGGCGGAGGATCAACGGGTGGATCTGGGTCTGGTTCCGGATCCGGCTATGGCTCTGGTAGCGGTGTGAGTGGATCTGCGTCGGCTCCTAGTGGTAATGGTTATGCCAATGCTGATGGTATGGGCGGGGGCGGGGGCGAAGGTGGTGGTGCAAATGGGTCTAGTGGAACTGGAGTTGGATCTGGCCTTGGCAAGGGATATGGTGAGAGTGGTGTGTCAAACGCACCGGCTCCTGTTGCCGGTGCTGATGGTACCAGCTACTCTGATGCTGGCGGTAGTGGTAACGGTGGTGGTGGCGGTAACAACGGAAATGGAGGTGGTGTGGGCACTGGCGCTGGACAGGCCGGCAGCGACGACACTTCTGGAGGCTTTGCAAATGGAGGAGGAAGTGGCAATGGTGGCGGCGCAACTGGAGGTGCCACTGAAGGCCCAAGTGTTGGAGTTGGATCTGGTGCTGGGTCTGGCGCTGGTCAGACCGGTAGCACTGGCTCTTATGGCGAAGGCTATGCTACAGGAATTGGTGGTGGCATGGGTGGCGGCAATGGTGAGAGCCAGAATGGCGGAACTGGCAGCGGTGGAGGCAGTGGATCCGGATCTGGTGGTGGTGGATACCACTAAATTACCCTTTGTTGAGCAAACTCGAATTGGACCTCGATATGTATTTTAATTTCCATCATTTTACTAGCATTTCACATCAAAGGACACATGTCATGCATGGAAGGGACGATCCTGAGCGTCGGTGGAAGGAACTAAATATCATTTCTTGGATTAGCAATTAACTCCTACACCTGTTCAGGCAGGTTTGTGCCAATAGACATAATAATAATGTGGAGTACCTCATTTGTAGCCTTTTCTATCTCAAATAGTGAATTGCTTGATTCCGCCATTTTGTTTGCAACGTCTTTCTGAGTTTTGACATGTCCAAGTATGTTTCTTGTGCATACCATGCAACTCTGTAGTTTCTAGGTCTATACCAACCTTGCTTTGTATTTGAAATATTCCCTCTGTGTTAGTTCGGGTTCGTTTTAGAATCAAAATAGTTCCAGTCTTAACCATCAACATAGAAGGTAGCACTAAGATTTATAACACCATAGTCATACCACTGGACCTATCGTAGAAAATGTCATACGAAAGAACGGTAACATGTAAATGAGGTTTGGGCAGTGTCGGTATACACGACTTTAAATCTAGTACTCGTCTATCAAAAGCGCAAAGAATAAGAGGTTCCTAATGAATGCCGGCCCCAATTTATTATCATGTCAAGCTTTTGGTTCTTATTACAAATTATTCTCAGTGATCGGTCTTGGCTGATACATCTTGTTATTGATCGGTATGGGAGATGTATCTTGCACGATGGCAAACAGAGGTTCTCTTGAAATATGAGCATACAGAGTTAGTTTAGAGACAGACAGAATGTTTGGTCAGACACATCTCACAGAGTTAGTGAAAGGATGTCTTTCCGTTAATTTTGGAAAAGCGACGTGAGGAAGAGGATCATGTTTGGTTCAGACACATCTCACAGGTAACACTGATTACAAGAAGAAATCAACAAAGGAGAGAACTAGATCGTTTCATGTGCTATCTCCAGGCACATGCCTCTATCCATCTCCGGTACCCAGGGAAGGCGTGAATCAACGGAACTGAGACATCATCACAATCGATATATATTTACACTGGATAAACGCAGAGAAATGTCACCTCCTCCTCTTCTTGCCTTTCCCCAGCTGCCCAGATTTAAAAGCATGTTCCTGTTCTTGAAGAAAAGCCACCATTCTACCATACTTTTCAGCTTGCTCTTGTTTCATCCTATAATCTTTCGCAGCAGCCAGGAAATCATTGTGTTTCGGAATCGCGCGTATTGCCGCTTTCCTCTCACTCTTTACGCGCTTCTTCAGCTTCTTCAGCTGTTCCCTTTCTCGGTCAGGATCATAATCAATACCATTAATGTAACTGCAGAAAGACAAGCAAGGATGTATAAAAATCCGTAACTAGACCATTTCAATAACAGGACAGGACAGGCCAAAACAGAGCATGACAGAGGCAAGAAACTGGCAACATAGAATAGCTAACAGATACATACTTATCTTCAAATTTGGGGTTCAGCTGCTTGGGAATGAAGGAACAGAAGTCACTATCTAACTTATCAACAAGTTGCTCACCCTCTTCCTTTTCTTTGGCTTTTTGGGCCTGCAACAACATAAAATTCTGTTAATGTATCCACTTCATGCCACACATATCAAAATAGAAGCAGAATGCATAATAACTACTCCCTCCGTTCGGAATTACTTGTCGCAAAAATGGATGTATCTAGACGTATTTTAGTTTTAGATACATCCATTTCCGAGACAAGTAATTCCGAACGGAAGGAGTAGTATATTGTGTACATCATGTACTCAACCCAACGGTCCTGCAATATAAATCTAACTAGGTCATGCATAAAGCAGCATGAATATAGCATAATTTTCGTAAAATAAATATATTACATTACTGGTGTTGGAAATTGGACAAGCAAAGTGCCAGTCAGCAACATGGAGACGGTTTTATTGAAAAGAGTCCAACAGTATCGTATTAGGAAGTAAAGGAGACTAATATGTACGAATTCAAGCTATGCATCCGTTATATAAAAATGTTATCCATTTCACAATTATTAATAATGCAGGAAGAATTAACTTATTCTCTCATGTAGCCTGTCTATCTAACCCCTCATATCATATCCACGTCTAGCTATATTCACCATAGTGATAAACACTTGGTCGTTTTTGTCACGGAAGGCACTGAGGGCATCTCTAGCCGATCGCCTAAAGGCTATAGAGGAGTAAATTTCGGTTTTAATCCTCTAACCGGCACCTAGCCGAACTCCTAAACTATATAAAGAAGTAAAACATATACTCCTCGGCTCGGTGGCGGCCTGTGATGGACTAAAAAAAAATTCCTCTGCCCCTTTCGGCTGCTCCCACCCCACCCCCGCGCCGCATCTACTCTAGATCACGATTCCCACCTTCGCCGGCGACCACCCGGTACCGCCGACGCTTCAAAGGACCCACCGCGGTCTACACCCACTTGGATTTGGGCCTCTCTCGCCGTCGCCAGCGCCTAAGCAGCCAGTTCTGCGGGCCGCGCGCCGGCACCAGATTTGGCGTATTCGGCCACCAGCGTCGTTGCGTCTGGGATGGATTCGACCGGTATTAATTCAAACAGCCCCCGCAACGACTTTGCGCCACATCTCAGTATGGCCTCCTCCCCTAGGCGCTCGGATCTCAGTCGTCGACCGGCCACCGGCACGGCTACGGACGGCAGCCATTGGCCAGGCTCGGCACTAGCCTAACAGCTCGTCGGCACCCTGTTGCCGGTCATCAAGTGTGATCTGCCTGTGGCAGGTGCTACGCCGAGTTTCGACCACGCCGCAACATCCCAGATGGGTGTTCTTCAAGTGCAAAAAAGATGAGGTGAGTGCTTGTTTGTCTGGCTGTTCGTCGGATTCATTGCAATTTATAGCCTATTTTTTGCTCAAAATCATGTGTAGGATGGATGCAAGTTTTGGTATTAGGAAGAAGAGTGCACCGATCTATTGATAGCAAGAAAATTGCTAGATGTCCATGCACTACTTGCTAGAGTTGAGACTAGAGATGAGAATAGAGACGATGCAATGTCCAATTGTATGGAGGTGGAGAAGAACGAAGTGTGCAAGCTCAAGAAGCCGATAGAGAACCGTGACAATGTGGGCAACAAAGATATAGAGAAAATATGAAAAGAACTAGTGGGAGCAGTTATGACACTTGAATTTCTATTAAAGTGTCTAATTGTGGTTCTAGTTTTCTTTGGATTGGTTCTCTTAGCAAATAATTCGTGAACTATATACTATGGTGTATCAAGATGTCATTCAATAAAATAAAGAAGAAGTCAAGTTTATTTATGTGGCCAAAAATGAAATGAATTTGATAAAAACAAAAAAAATACTCCATTTAGGAGTTCGGCTAGGCCCGGTCAAAATTTAGCTAACTGGCTGTTTACTCCGCTACTTTAGGGATCGGCTAGAGATGCCCTAAGGAAGACATACACAGCTATATCAAACCATCCATAGATTACCTTTGGAAACAGTCCGGAAAAAGCAATGCCAAGAGTTGGAAACAGTGAAACAAGCATCGTGTATCCAACCAAATAATAATTTGCAAGGAAATTTCAAAACAATTTCTTTAAGCTTCAAAATGATAGGATTGTTCTGGCTGATAGCACAAGACAAAAAAAAGGCAGCAACCGAAGTAAGGAATACTTGTTTTTATACACACAAAACTCTACCTTGTAAAATTTACTCTTCAAAATGATCTGTTCCTTCTTGCTCTTGTGACCTTGCAAACAAGAGTAACAATATTATGGTCACAACATATGGATTATTGGATTACAGATCAGATAAAAATGCAATTAGTAATTCCTAAAAAACATTACATGTGTTTCTTCAGGCAGGTCAGTTTCTGAAGGAAGGCCACTACTTTGGAGAGATAGGTGCTTTTTTGAAAGGATAATTTTACCCGAAGACACGGAGCTAAGCCCAGTAAGCAAATAGAAACACTAACATCAGTTCCTATAGACGGGGATTCTAATCGTTATAATGCTCTAATACGATAACACAAATACTTTTCTGCAATAACACCATCGTACAACGCTGAGCCTAGCAAACTAAATGCCAAAATTAAAACTAGACCATGTGTTACGTAAGAAAAATCAGTGGTTACAAAACATGGAGAACGTAAGGGATCTCAGATGCTGAACAATAACAAACATTGATAGCTAAACCAAACCCTAGAGCAGAAAGATTATCTTATGCTATCACCTATCAGTGTATTTTCAGTTTCACTTGGGACAACCCCGTCCTAGATTCTTTTGCTGAGTCAAACGTGCCAGATTCCAACACATGTTTCAGAATTTCATTGTTGTTTGCCAACGTCCAAGAAAATCTTACCAATGTGTGTGCCCATATGACTAGCATCCCTCAGAATAAACATAGAGTGAACAAATTCCTGAATCTCTCGGAATAAACATCAAAAATAGGTGCCAGACTATGGTAATCTGCCTTACACAATAATCAGAACTCCAAAAAGTTTGTTTTGCAGGCCATTGACAACATTTTATTTTATTTTGGATGGCCAAAATGTACCTTTCTATATTTAAGATGGTCTATTTCAGATAATAAACAAAAGTTTAAAATAGTAAAATATAAATGTGAGATAAAACGTACTTACATAACACAGGAGACTCGTAAGTACACCAGGAAGCAAAACACATGGGTTGACCAAATATATTGTAAGATACTTAGGTGACACATGACAGCATAAAACACATCTTCATTAGTGTCGTCACCAAGAGGCACCTCTTCGTCGAAATCATCATCTCCCAAGAGCGTGTGACAATCCTTGCCTTCCTCCTTGTCGGACAGAATGTATTTGCTTACTTGATTCAACTCCGCGTGGGAATCATGACAAAGGGGGGAAACTGAACATAGGCATCTCCAACTGTGATCCGCAAATTTTCTTCCGCATTCGTCCGCGGACACGGATGCGCAGGAGGATGTCATCCAACCGTAGCCGCATACATGTCGACAATAGTTTGAACCAATCGGACAAAATTTGTGCAAACACAGCCAGATTTCATACAAACATGATGGATTTTCATATAAACATGACAGATTTCATTACATTTACATCAACTAAGCAGTATTAGTCCGGCTCTGGAGGTATA